GGGTCTGGCGTCTCCCTGGCCAGGGACTGTGCGACACGAGGATGAAGGAAGGCCACGGAGTGCGGTGTCGCGGGCCCGGGCCTGCCATTCTCCCGCAGAGCCTTCCTGGTGCCCCCGCCCTCGCAAACATGGAAGCGGGCACCGAAGGAGTGTGGGGTGCAGGGCACCTGGCTGGGCTAGGGGACCCCAAAGGGCTCCTGGAGAGGCCTAGAATAAAGGCTCACTGAACAGAAGCCTGGATAGATTTGGATTGAAGGCTCCCCACCCCCTTCTCCTCCCAACCTCACCCCCCCCCAGCCCTGCCTCTCTGTGCCCCCCCCTCCCCGAGTTCTCACGGGACACACCGAAGCTGCCCATTGGCTGCTGAAAGCTGTTTACCAGCCACAGGATCCAATGGGGAGCCGCCTCGCCCAGCGCTCTTGCGGGCAGGTAAGGCTCTGGCACCTGCGGGAGGAAGGGTCCCCAAGTGGAGGCTGGGCTCCGAAGTGGGGGTCTACCTCCTACTCTTCCCCTCCTCCCAGGTTGGTTCAGGACCCCCAGGGGCGGGGGGACTCTAACCCAAGTCTGCCCCCCACCCGTGGTCCTGTCCGGCTCTCAGGGACAGCCAGGGCAGAACAAAAGCCTACTGTACCAGGACAAAGGAGAAAGGTCCCACAGGCCCTTGCCCACCCCCAAAGCCCTGGTTGCTCCCCCTCGGGACTGCCACCATGGAAACTCCCTCCCACACTTGATAATTGCCCCGTGGGTGCCTGGGGTACCCGTGACATGAGCCATCCCCAGGGCAACAGGGCAACAGGGCTGGCTCCAGTGCCGGCTTGTGTCCCTACAGTGCCCATTCCAGGGTGCTTTGCCTCCCTGGGGGCCTGCCCCGGCAGGGGGGAGGGTGGCAGGGCATGGCAGGACTTTGGAGCAGTGGGAGAAAGCGTCTGGACTCCTGTTTCCATGGTGGAATATTCACCCTGCGTGTCCCAGTGGCTGTGCTGGAACACTGGCCTGGCTGCTGGTCAGAGCCCTGATTTGGAATGCTCTGGTGACAGGGCCCTCGCTCTTACATATGTTCATTTGGTGCTTAGTATGTGCGGCCAGGCCCTGGGTCTCGGGCAGACCATCCCATACTCGAGGGAGCCTACCGCAGAGAGGAGGGAACATGGAGGTCCAGACCCAGGTCTGCAGAGTTTCCTGGGGGAAACTGAGGCTTGGGAGGGGAGGACATTTAGCCAAGATCTCACAGCACGTGGCAGACCCCAGGTTTACCCCTGCCTCCACATCAGCAGCCATGAAACTGTCCCCTAAAACTGGGCGCTCACCCAGGTCTGTCCTCCTGGAGATGCTCTTTCTCCTGCTCCCACCCATACCCTTGGCCCTGCCCCAGCCTGAGTCCCAGCTCCTTGGAATGTGGGGCAGCATCTGGGCCCCTGGGAGTTAAAGAGAACTGCCAGGGCCCTCCCTCCCTCATCCCTGCCCCACTAAAGTACCTGTAGCTTAAGTATAACCCACTCGCCCACACTTCCCAGAACCTTTTCTCGGATCCCCTCCCCCTCTGCAGGCAGCACTGATAACCTCACTAGAGAAAGAGGAAATGGAGTGCCCAGCCCAAGATCACTGTTGGGGTTTAGAGCCACTAGAGTTCAGGTCTTTGTGCCTTCTGGGCAATACCTTAGCTTTAGGGCATCGAATGCAGTCCAGGCTTTGCAGCAGGTAGGGTGGGGGGACCTACCCCTGGAGTCAGCTCCTAGACTCCCTGCCCTCCAAGGGCTCAGCTCTTCTGCTCGGAGGGTGGGGAAGCAGGAAAGCAGCAACCTCAGCCCGGGCCCAGGAATCTGTCATGAGGCTGGGAGGGGGGCCATGGTGACAGTAGGTCCCACTGGTCATAGACCCTAGGGGCAAATGCTCTCTGGCAGGACTCCTCCAGCTAGGGCTGAATCAATGCCTTTTCTGCTCAGGGAAGCATTTTCTGGGTAGGTGCCATTATCAAACATCTACGTGGGGACCCTGAGGTGGGTAGGGTGTGGGGGTGTCAGACCAGAAGAAAACTAGCTCCCTCCTCGTGTGAACACTTTTCTGTACACATTGTCCTCCTAAGGCTGTGCTAGCCCCTACAGCACCTGCGTGCTAGTTGGGAAAAGACACCTCTCCTCCAGCCACACACAGCCCTGTGTGGCAGAGGGGGAAGTGACCACTCTCAGCTGGGAGCTTTTGTGCAGTGAGCAACCTGAACAACCATACTCAGCAAACCTGGCAGTCCCAGCTCCCAACAAACCTGCTTGGAAGGGGGGCTCGGGGAATCTGATGGCACTCAGTCTGCAGGGACTGAAGCTGGGATGGCGCCCAGAAATGTCCATTGGCCTGGGTCAGCCCCGGGGACAGGAGTGGGGGCCAAGCAAAAAAGTGGAAGGACAGGGGCTCCTGGCTGGCTCCATCGGAAGAGCATGTAACTCTTGATCTCGAGGTTGTTGAGTCTGAGTCCCACATTAGGTGTAGAGATTACTTAAAAATAAATAAATACACTTTTTTAAAAAGCAGAAGGGCAGATGGATCCCCTCCTTGTCGTGGGGAAGGGTGCATGGTCTCCATCTTGCACTCCCACGCACCCCAGAGAGTCCCCATCCCCACGCTGTCCAGAAGCCAGACTCGGACTCCCTGCAAAGTCCCTGTATAGGAAATGTCCTCTCGCTGTCTGAGCTCGATTTTCTCCTATAGATAATGAGATAAAAGCTCCCACCCCATCCCCAAGATCGCTCTCTGGGTGGTGTGTACACACTCCAGCCGATGGAAGACCCCGGCTCCGCCTCTCACCAGCAGCACGATCAAGACCTGAGCTGAGATCAAGAGCGGGACACATTGGGTGCCTGGTGGCTTAGCCGGTTGAATGTCTGACTCTTGACTTTAGCTCAGGGGCTGTGGGATTGAGCCCTGCAACTGGCTCCAGCTCAGCCTGGAGTTTGCTTGCGATTCTCTCTCACCCTCTGCCCTCTGCCCCCACGCCTGTGCACACTCTCTCTCTAAAATAAATAAGATCTTAAAAAAAAAAAAAAAGGAAGAAGAAGAAGAGTCAGACTCTTAAGCCACTGAGCCACCCAGTGCCCCCAGAAATGGAATCTTTAACAAGGATCAGGACTCACCTGCCAGCACTAGTTAGGTCACCTGATAGACCTCTGCCATCCCCTAAAGGAAGGCGACCTTGCAAAACCCAACCCACTGTTTTGCCAGTACAACATCCTTGTCCTTGCACCCTTCTGCCTATAAGTCTTTCATTCTGCTCAGAGCTCCTTCCTCTCTTTGCTAGATGGGCTGCTGCCCAGTATGTGAATTGTTGAGTAAAGTCAATCAAATCCCTAACGTTTACTCAGTTGAATTTCAGTTTCTAACTCTTGTTAAGTGCTTAAGCTCATGCCTCTTGATGACATCTGGGTCCTCTGTTTCCACCAGCGGGATCGAGGTGGGGATCAGGCAACCCATGCGGCAAGAGAATGGACTTCTCTAGTGGCCACACCTCATTCCAGGGAGGGCGTCGAGCAGCCAGCCCTGGAAAGTTGTGTGGGGAATGTGGGCTGGGCTGGACGGACGCTGGATGAATCATTTCTCCCCTCTGAGTCCCTTCAGTGGTAGACAGGGGTGGGTCCTCTGTACAGCCAAAGCCTCCACCTCAGCCCGCACAGAGGCCACGGGACCCCAGCCAAGAAGGTTTTCAGGGACAGCCATGGAGTCTCCAACTCGGAGACAAGCAGGGAGAAGCTGTGGGTTTGAGGCTGTAAGCTGTTGGGATTGTAATCACAGGCTACGTGTGGTGCGTGTGCAGGGGACCCCGTACTAACCCTCCCCACAGCCCTGAGAGATGGGAACTAGCCCCGTTTTAGGCAGGAGGAGAGTGAGGTTCAGACCAGGAAAGGGAAGTGCCCAGGTCCTACAGCTGGCGCTAGGATCGACACCTGCCTCCTGTGACACTCAAGGAGAGGGTGTGAGTCTCTGAATGAGTGGTCATGAGCCGGGTCTCTTGAGGTGTTTTCTGTGGGTGCTTGGGTAAGCGAACCTGGGGTAAGGTCGTGTGTCCTGGGGAGACTGGGTGTCACTGCAGGCACGTCCAGCAGACGTGGGTGTCAATGGGCAAGACAGACCCGGTACACACCCCCTTTCCTGGGCTCACATCCACTGGAACCCTGCAGCTTGGGCACCCCCTTCCCTCTTGGCCCCCTGCAGGGCAGAGGGTCTCCCGGGAAACTGCGCCTGCCCTTGTGGGGTCCTCTTACTGACTGATCCCCACTCTGACGGGGGCCAGGAGAGGTGAGGCAGGAGCCCCACAGAGGTACAGGGACCCCCGTCCAACCCGGCCTTTCTGGGAGAGTCTGGCTTAGGGCACAGTGCTCATGGCTGAGGCCGGCTGCTGGGGGCTGGGTGTGCTAGGGCGCTCAGGACTCCATCCAGGGGCAGGACTCCAGATCCTGTGCCCTGACTAATCTCCTGGCCACCCCACCCCCAAAGGCCAAGGGCAGCCCTGACACCCCTCTCTGCCCTCTCCTGCTCTCCCCCTCCCCTCCTCCTCTCTCCGGCTCCCTTTCTTCCATCCCGCTTCCATTCCGGACTCTCTGTCTCTGTCCCTCTGTCCCTCGCCACAGCCCTGCGGCTGTGATCCTGTTTCCCTTGGTCTGCCCTCCCTCCAGGCTTCACCCGGAGCCCAGGTGTCGGGCTGGGTGGCGGGTGTCTGCACCGGAGCGGTGGGGCGGCCGGAGGGGGTGCCGGCCGGGGCCCCGCGCCGCCCCTGCCCCGCACTGGGCATGCCCCGGTCGCTTCTATATAAAGCGGCGCCGCCCGCTCCCGCTGTGCCGCCGCCACTGCCGCCGCCAAACCCCCGCCGCTGCGCGCCGCCCGCCTGCCCCGCCGAGCCGCTGCAGCCCTCCAGGTACCCCGGCTCCTGCCCGCGCCCCCAGGAGAGCCAGGGAGGGGGGCCAGGGGCCAGGGGCCAGGGGCCGTGGGGACCCAGCGCGCCCCCCGCTGGAAGGGCGGGATGCTAGGACCCCAATGGGGCCTGGCGCAACCCGCAAGGCTTGAGCTCTGGGGGCGGGGGTGGGCAGGACCCCCGGGGTCCCAGCCGCAGAAATCCCACCCCCTTGGGTTGGGGGGTGGGGCAGCCTTGGACACATGCCAGGGTCAGGACGCTCGGGCCTTGTCAGCCACCTCTCTGTTCCAGAGTCTTAGGGGCTGGGCAATGGGGTGCAGACCACGCTGCCCTGACTCCCTCCTTTGTCTCTCTCTGTCTCTGCCATCAGTCTCTCAGCCACTGCACCTGTAAGATGGTGAGTCTCCTCTGCTCCTTCCCCTCAAAAGGCCCAAGCCCCTTGTCAGAGGGAGGGCCCAGAGGGCAGTGTTTGGCACCCAAAAGCCTCACCCTGGGGGCTCCCCTGTGCAGACAGCTCAGACCTATGGCCCCGGGTGCGTGGGACATGCAGCTGCTGCGGGCTGGGCACTTCTGGCTCCCCCAGCAGCCCCGGGGACGGGCACAGGTGGTCCCCTTTGGTGGTCATTCATTCCACAACACCTCTTGAGCCCCTGCTATGCACCTGACACCATTCTAGGCTTGGGGACATAGCAGTGAGAGCACGGTCTGGGCTCTCAGGGGACGCACACCTTCTTCTTCTTTTTGGAACACACCTTCTAAGAGAAGGCACAAGGCTCAGAATTTGGAACTGGTCAGCCTGGATTCGAGCCCAGGTCTCAGGTGCAGACGTGCCCTCCCGGACGCAGCACACTGCATCCCCCGTGACTGAAGGCTAAGCCTCACTGGTCTCCTGGAGTGGGACGGGGCAGGTGCCAGGCCCCCCAAGGCCAAAGAAACCTTGTAACTTACCCAAGGTTGCTCAGGCTGTCCCCCGGAGGATAAGCCCACTACTGTCCCCACCTATGGTCACACAGAGTCTGAGTAGCCTCATTGGGAGTTAGCCTGCCTCAGAGAGGGGCAGGGGTGTAAAATGTCATCCAAAGAAAGCATTTCTGTGACTCAGAACATCTGAAAAAAGGGCACCAGCTTTTTCCCCTACCAGTGCACTGCACAGGGCTGGCCACACAGTAGGTCCTCAAGGCCTACCTGGGTGGCCATGGGACAGCTTCATCTACACATCCAGGTCTCAGCAGAGCTCCCCAATGGTGATAGACAGGTTACCGAGGCCAGAGGGGGAATGAGCAGCCCAAGTGATTGCTCGGTTCGTTCATCTGTTCTCAATCCGTGTTTACTGAGCAGCTATGGTGTGCTAGGACTGCTTCAGTGAACAAAACAGACCAACACGTACGTCTAGTCCTACGAACCAAGCTAGGACAGGCCTCAGCGTGGGATGGGGGGCAGTGGTCCAGCCAGCGGCACATTGCTTTCTACCTTCCCCCCAGACCCCCTGGAGCACTGTACCTGGAGTTTGCAAAGCACCCCTACCTACATGTTCCTGGTGACAGGCCTTCACCCCCTAATCCAACACCATCCCCTCCTGGTTCCTAGGACAGTGTCTGCCCTGAACATAGCCCAAGGTTAGGGGTGTGGAGGGCTTATACCCTTGAGTGACTTAATGGGCTCTTTGCTCGCTCTACCCCAGACCCACCACTTCTGCCCCTCTCAGCTCTCCCTGGATCCGCTGGGTCCCGACTGGGACTGCCCCCTGGGCACCAAGGACCTGGAGGAAGAGGAGGGTCCATGGGGAGGAGGCTCCGGCCTGCCGCCCCCAGGCTGCTTCCCTGGCTGCTGGCGCCAGGACGTGGGCCTGGACTGCAAGGGCTCCCTCGAGGGGGCGGAGGCCCGGGCCTGGACCGTCCACGGCTACAGCCTCCTGCAGAGCTGTCTGCGGCAAGCTGGCCTTCCGGAGACCCAGGACCGCAGCCAGGCGCCCCGCACAGGTGCCCAGTGGCTCAGGGAGGGGGGCAGCCCCGGCGGGCGGGGGGAGGTGCCCTCAGCCCAGCCTGCTTCCCACCCCTGTCAAGGTCGGCCCCTCCCCCCAGGCTCTGGCTGGATCCGAAGCCAGGGAGGCAAGGCCAGTCAACGTCAGGCAGGCAAGCATTGTTTCAAAGGGCATCTGGCACCGGTAGAGTCAGAGATCAAGGCTTCCCTCCTGTTCCCAGAAGACCCAGCCGTGGGATTTGTAATCTAGGTTGTGTGGAGTTGGAGCTCCTATAGATGGGTTTTGGGAGCTGCTGTGGAAGCCGCTAACAGTTGGGACCCAAAACTGCTTCCCAGCTTTATCAGTTTTATTTGTATTTATTTTTATCTCTGTTCTATAGATCAAGTGGCCACAAAAGTTCTGTGTGGACACAGGGTTCCCAGCTAGAATACATGAAAATCACGGACTGGGAAACTGAGGCACAGGGACATTTCCCCCCTCTTCCCACCCCCAGCAACTGCACTGCATGGGGGCCACGGGTCACAGAGAAAGTCAATGTCAGAGCCCAGGCTAGAACCCAGGTCTCCAGTAACTCAGCCTCCAGTACCTTCCAGGCTAGCTAGAGAGAGGAGGGAGCCAGCCTCACCTGGGCGGGATGGGCAGGCAGCTTCCCTTTCCCTTTCCAGCCCTTCTCAGAATGAGGGACGAGGGATGGGGTGGGGTGGGGGGCATGGGGAGGGCGGGGCTATGGGGCAGGGAAGGGTAGGCAGAAAGATAGCGGGGGAGCCCCTCTTGAGCTTCGCCATGTTCTCCCCGCCCCCACCCCCCCAGGCTGCCCTGGTGCGGAGGTGACCTTATGCATTCTGGGATCCCCCAGCACCTTTCTGTCTGTGCTCCTGGAGGGTGGGGTCCAGAGCCCGGGTGAGTATGTGCCCATGTTCCTCCACCCGCTCCTACGGAAAGGGCAGCCCTCGCCTGGCCCGGCCACATCCCGAAATACCCACTGACCCTGGCAAGTGCCTGCATTCCACTGGGCCAGCTGCCATGCTCTGAGTGGGGGTGGGTTCCGGGAACAGCTGCCCCCCACTACCCAGGGCCCCGGGCTGGAGGTGGAGGGCACGGGGGCATTAAGCCTTCCCTGGCCAGCAACCCTCTTCCCTCCGCCCACAGGAAATATGCTCCTCTGCCTGTCCCCTGCTTGGCTGACGAAGGTGCCAGCACCCGGGCAGCCGGGTGAGGCGGTCCTGCTGGTCTCTAAGGCTGTGAGCTTCCACCCAGGGGGCCTGACATTCCTGGATGACTTTGTCCCCCCACGCCGAGTCACCTACTTCCTGGCGGGCCTGGGGCTGGGACCTGGCCGGGGTCGAGAGGCAGCTGAACTTGCCCGTGACCTGACCTGCCCCACGGGAGCCTCGGCTGAGCTGGCCCGGCTGCTGGAGGACAGGCTGCTGACAAGGCGACTGCTGGCTCAGCAGGGTGGTGTGGCCGTGCCAGCGACCCTGGCTTTCACCTATAAGCCACCGGCCCTGCTGCGGGGAGGGGAGGCCACGCCGGGCCTACGGCTGGTGGAGCTGAGTGGCAAAGAGGGCCAGGAGACACTGGTGAAGGAGGAAGTAGGGGCTTTTCTGCACTCTGGTGCCCTGGGTGATGCCCTGCAGGTAACAGGCTCCCGCCTCCGAGGTCTGTGCAGATGCCAGCAGGATGGGATGCAGGGATGGTTACCTGGTCCTGCTGCGAAGTTGTCCCCAACTTTGAGCCCTACTGCTGGCATCTATCTCTGTGGCGATCCCCTCCCTTCTTACCTCCGTTTACACACTGGATCCTCTGGTACCCCACAGGTTCATGGGTTGGTAAGGAGGCCTCCTTCCCCTCCCCGTTGCAGGTGGCCGTCAAGCTCAGTGGCTGGCGCTGGCGGGGGCGGCAGGCCCTGCGTGTGCACCCGCGAGGGGAGCTCGGCGCAGTGGCGGACACGGTGCTGGCGCTGCTGGAGAAACTGGAGGAAGAGGAGAGTGTCCTGGTGGAGGCTGTGTGCCCACCTGCCCGACTGCCTTTCCCAGGTGAGAGCCCCCTGGGCCAGCCCGCAGTGGGAGCTCGGTTTACCCTCCCAGCTGCTCTGTGCCAGGCTCAGGCCTCACTGTCTTTCTCCAGGCAGTCCCCCACCTGGCCCTCAGCTGGCTGTGCGGATCTGCGCTGTGGTCTGTCGGACCCAGGGTGACAGGCCCCTGCTGAGCAAGGTGAGCCTGGCCCAAGTTTAGATCCTGACCCTGCTGCCACACCCCAGCCCAGCCCTCATGAGGGGCTGAGGGCCCCAGGCAGAGAGAAGACATAACCTCTGGGGGGAGTCCTGGTGGTCTCTAGGAAGACTCCTGGGTCTGACGCTTTTCCCCTCCCTTTCCACCCTTCCTACCTCAGGAGCCCTGCCTGGTACCAGGTACCAGGGCCCAGGGCTGAATCCTCTTTCCAGGGAGCTCTTACCCACAGAAGAGGCTGACCCAGGGTCCCTGAACTGCCCGTGTCTGGAGTCCTATAGAAGAGGCCTCCAAGCTGGGGAACTCAAGAAAGCTTGGGGACCCTCCTGGGAACACAGCTCTGAGGCAACCTGAGGCAGAGTCTCTCAACCCTGCCCTCATGGAGGTCTTGGGTGGGGGGCACATCAGGGTGGCACAGGCCCCCAGGCCTGCAGGAGCTAGGAACAAGCATGTTTGGAACCTCCAAGGAGCAGAGAGACCCCGGCGCAGGTGGAAGCCTGGGTAGAGTCCCCTTAGGGTCTAAAGGACCAGAGGGGCAGGTGGCAGGGAAAGTGGTTTGTGCGGCGGAAGTCACAGAGGCCTGGGCCACTTGAATGTCCAGTGAGAGGTCTGGCCTGGGTCTCAGCATAGGGGTAGGTGTGCAGGGGCAGGGGGTGGCGGGTGCATGAGTCCTGGGCCGGCTCCTCCTGGGCCCACACCCTCAGCCACACCCTGCCCAGGTGGTGTGCAGCGTGGGCCGTGAGGACCGGCCTCTGCGGCACCAGAGCTCCTTGCCACAGACGCTGGAGGTGGCACTGGCCCGGTGCGGCCTGGGTGAGCCGGGGCAGGTGGCGGTCGTGCGACAGCACGTCAAGGCGGGGGCCGAGGCCGCGCTGGCCGCAGTGCTGGCCCTGGAGGCCGGCCTGAGCGCGGAACAGCGCGGCGGGCGCCAGGCCCGAACGGACTTCCTCGGTGAGTGCGCACCGCCCGGGGCGGGGACCCGGGGGCCGTGGGGGTGCCGGATGGCAGCCCGTGCTGAGCGCCGCCCCCGGCCCGGCCCAGGCGTGGACTTCGCGCTGACGGTGCAGGGCCGCGCGCTGACCCCCGTGGCCCTGGAGCTGAACAGCGGCCTGTGTCTGGAGGCGTGCGGCGCGCTCGAGGGGCTGTGGGCCGCGCAGCGCCCGCGGTCGGGGGCCGAGGAAGCGGCGGCCGCGCCGCTCGTGGAGACCATGCTGCGGCGGTCCGCGCACTACCTCATGGAGGGCAAGCAGCTGCTGCTGATCGGCGCCGGCGGCGTCAGCAAGAAGTTCGTGTGGGAGGCCGCGCGCCACTACGGCCTCAAGGTGGGCGGGGCGAGGGGCGGGGCCGGCGCGCCGTCCGGGCCCCAGTGGCGGAGGCCGTGCCCTGGGCGCGGGGGCGGAGAAGGCTTTGAGGCGGGGCCGGAGAAGGCTTTGAGGCGGGGCCAGCACCTCTGGGGGCGGAGCCTGCGCTGGGCGGGCCCGCTGGGCGCTCTCGAGCCCGGGAGTAGGGCAGGGGCGCGCTGACCCGCGCAGGTTAGAAATCTAAACTTTTTTTTTTTTTTTTAAAGATTTTATTTACTTATTTGACAGAGAGGGACACAGCCAGAGAGGGAACACAAGCAAGGGGAGTGGGAGAGGGAGAAGCAGGCTCCCCACCAAGCAGGGAGCCTGATAGGGGGCTGGATCCCAGGAGCCTGTAATCAAGACCTGGGCGGAAGGCAGACGCTTAACGACTGAGCCAGCCAGGCGTCCAAAACTTTTTTTTTTTTTTTTTTTTTAAGATTTTATTTAGTTTTTGAGAGAGAGCGAGAGTGAGAGAGCACAAGCAGCGGGTGGGGGGAGCAACAGAGGGAAAGGGAGAAGCCAAGCTCCTTTCCAGGACTCGGAGATCACGTCCTGAGCAGAAGGCAGAGGCTTAACTGACCGAGACACCCAGAAGTTTAAATTCTTTTTGGCTTCTGGTCGAATTCTGTCCCAGCCCGGTGAAATAAGACCTCAGGGAGAGCACAGAGCCCTCTAGGGCAAAAAGAGTCCAGTGCAGACGGGCAGGAGGGGCGGGGCCATCATTCAGGTTTCCTACCAGAACCAGGACCTTGAATACCAGGCTAAGGAGCCTGACCCCAACCTGCAGGAAGGGCAGGCCCCTGGGGGTTGAATTCCTGAGGGCTTGAGGAGGGTGCTGGGGAGCAGCTTACAGATCCTGAATCAAGTTCACAGCAGTGGCCTCACATTAAAGAATCTGAAGCCATGCCAGCAGAGTAGACGTTCTTATCCGCTATGGAACAGAAAAGAAAACAGAGGTCAGGTTCTTCATGGCCCTAATCTACCACAATGGCCTCCTCTCCCCTCTTCCATGGTACAACAGCACCCCCTTGGGAATTCACCCTTCCAGCCATTCCCATGCCTCTTAACTCCGTGCCTTGCACATTGTGCTCTCCACTTGGAATGTCTTTCCCCTCTTCATGCTGTCAAGTGTTCCAGTGCTCCCAGCCACGCTCCCGTCTCTTCAGGAGCACCCTCTGCCCTGGGAAGCATCCGCTTTCGGTCCGTGTTCCCCCAGCGGGCAGTGAGATTTGGGGTGCAGGGCCCCACTGGATTCCTCCATGGGCACCCCCAGGGTCAGAACTGTTTGGGTGAATGACAACCAAGAGGATGATGTCCCAAGACACCAGGCCACCTGTCTCAATTCCCAACCCTGGTAGTTTCCCTACAAGCTCTGGTCAGAGAATGAGCCCAGGAGCGCCCCCCCCACCTTTGCTCCAGCCCCCTCCTGCCCAGATCACACCCTCTTCCTCCTGCCACCGTCTTTCCTCTGGCTGAGTCTTACTCAGCTCCCGGCCTAAGCATTGTCTCCTTTCAGCTGCCTTCCCTCCCTCCAGGCTGGGTTGGATGTGCAAACTCGGCACCTGCCATTTAGTCAGTCATCAACGAATATTTTTTGAGCCCCCTAGAACTGGCAAGTCTGTCTCCCCTGCGGGCCCAAACCATGCTCTAGGCCCCATCTGATCGCCCCAGCAACCAGCATGGGCTGAGCTGGATGTGTTGGGCCCTGGTGGTTTCTGCAGCTGCACCTGGTGGAGTCGGATCCCAACCATTTTGCGTCCCAGCTGGTGCAGACTTTCATCCATTTCGATGTGACAGAGCACCGGCGGGATGAAGAGAACGCACGGTCGCTGGCGGAGCTGGTGCGGGCCCGTGGCCTGCAGCTGGATGGCTGCTTCTCCTACTGGGACGACTGCCTCGTGCTCACGGCCTTGCTCTGCCAGGAGCTGGGGCTTCCCTGCAGCCCCCCGGCTGCCATGCGCTTGGCCAAGCAGAAGAGCTGCACCCAACTGCACCTGCTACGCTGCCACGGGCCCCCTTGGCCTGCGCCCTCCCTGCACGCCGTGCCCTGCTGCCCGCTGGAGAGGGAGGCCGATGTGGAGAGGGCCGTCCACCAGGTGCCGCTGCCCGGCGTCATGAAGCTGGAGTTCGGGGCGGGCGCGGTGGGTGTGCGGCTGGTGGAGGACGCGCCACAGTGCCACGAACACTTTTCCCGGATCGCTCGTGACCTGCAGGGGGAGGCCGACCACCCCGGCATTGGGCTGGGCTGGGGCAACGCCATGCTGCTGATGGAGTTTGTCGAGGGCACCGAGCACGACGTGGACCTGGTGCTGTTCGGAGGGCGCCTGCTGGCCGCCTTCGTCTCCGACAATGGCCCCACGAGGCTGCCTGGCTTCACGGAGACGGCAGCCTGTATGCCCACCGGGCTGGCCCCGGAGCAGGAGGCCCAGCTGGTGCAGGCAGCCTTCCGCTGTTGCCTGGGCTGTGGGCTGCTGGATGGGGTGTTCAATGTGGAGCTCAAGCTGACCCAGGCTGGGCCGAAACTGATCGAGATCAACCCCCGCATGGGCGGCTTCTACCTGAGAGACTGGATCCTGGAGCTCTATGGTGTGGACCTGCTGCTGGCAGCAGCGATGGTGGCCTGCGGCCTGCGGCCTGCCTTGCCCACCCACCCACGGGCCCGTGGCCACCTGGTGGGGGTCATGTGCCTGGTGTCCCAGCATCAGCAGGTGCTGAGTTCCACTGCCAGCCGCGAGACCCTGCAGGCTCTCCACGACCAGGGCCTGCTGCGCCTCAATTTGCTGGAGGATATCCTGGTGCCGGGCGAGTACGAGGAGCCCTACTGCAACGTGGCCTGTGCTGGGGAGAGCCCGGCTGAGGCTCGCCTCCGCCTGCTAGGCCTCTGCCAGGGTCTGGGCATCGATGGGCCCCACTACCCGGTTGCCCACTTCCTGTCCCACTTCAAATAGTGCCTCTCTCTCCCTGGACCCCTGCCCCAACCCTGGCTTGGCCCACCCCCAAGGCCTCATGGCTGTTCCAGAGTGTCAGGGCCATTTGACACGAAGGCTCCCGAGCTTAAGGGCCATAAAAGAAAGTATGGTGGGGGGGCCACTGGCCCCTCTTGCTGTCAGGTCGGCCCGAACGCCCCAGTCCTGCCCCACGAGTCTAGTCACAGAGAAGCAACAACAGCTGTGCACGTGCACACACACACCACAGGGAGGTGGGAATGGGCCCAAACTTAGCCCCTCTTTGGCATCCCTCCAGGTCTGTCTCTCTTCCTGCACCCTTCAGGAAGAGAGAAGCTGGGCCTCTGGCCTTGGACAAATCCCACAAAAACCTGAGATAAAACGGCCTGTCCTCAACCCTCATTTAGCAAATCCCAGGATATTTCCAGACCCGCTGACAACTTTTGGCAGTGCCCTGCCTGCCTTGTTGGGCCTGAGCAGTAGAAGCAGGGGACCTGGGATCAGCAGGAACCATTTCCTCTCCAGGTAGACACCATTGCCCCGTTCTACAGATGAGGAAACAGGCTCAGACAGGAACAATCACTGCCTCAAGGTCGTACCACAGTAGCCAGGGGGTCAAGGGACAAGCTACAAGGTCCATGTTTCCACTTTTACTAAGTCTTATGTGCCCGCTCCACTCCTAAACCGCACTCAGCTCCCTGCCCTCATTCATATGTGGCCTTAAGATGAGGGAACGTCCCTTCCCAGGCAGCACCCACCTTCTCCACCAAGCTTTGGTACATTGGCCTCTGGCATAACTAACCAGCACTGGCAGAGGAAAGTCTGCACTCCCTTCCTGATTCAGAGGAGTCTGTCCCAATAACTCTGTCCCAATAACCCTGTGCAGCCTGGGAGTTGTGGCCAGCTCCGCAAGCATCCCTCTCCAAATAAAGGCTTATGAACTAATGAAAGGTCTGGCATCTGGTTCTCAAGACTTGGACAGCTCCCCTCAGACTCAGCTTAGATGGGAATTGGGGAAGAGAGGAGGGAGAGGTGGCTAAGGGATACCTGTAGCCTCTGACACTAAGGATAAACACCATACTGGCCAGGCCTCTGTGTTGACCGTGAGCAGGGGCCTGCCATGGTCACTCACAACGGGACCCAAACCTGAGGGTCTCTGGAGGGTGGAATTACAACCAGAGGGCCACATCCAATCAAATAACCCTCCTCCAGCCTGGGTTCTGTCCAACTGAGTTCATATTTAGCCTCCCCATGCGGCTGGAATGCACATCCAGACGGCCTCCAACAACAGTCAGAACTCTATCCAAGACCTAATGTAGCCCGGATTCACCCCTACAGAGGCCCATTCAATGAGAATCCATGCTCATATCTAAAGTCACAGGCCAGGTTTGGTGTATTCATTTATTTATTATCTTAACAAAGTTTTATTAAGTGCCTATTCTGTACCAGGTAGCAAGATGACTAAATGTATTTAAACTGGCAACGTAGCAAACTCCAGCACAAACCCATATTTACAGGTGAGTCAATGAGACCCAAAAACCTGGCAAAAAAGCCCAGCCGTAACCTGAGCAATCACCCAGTGAATGCTCTGATACAGGGTCCTTGAGACAGGTGTCACATTAGGAAGACTGTGATGCAGTCGTCTCTCAGGGGCGAACAGAGAGACGCGACCCGCTTTTCGCCACCCAGCCAGCACCCAGCCACCCAGCTGGCGCACGGCTTTAACAGGGGTGGGGATAAAGTTTACACCCATATCTGCATGTGTTTCTGTCCCATCCAAACTCAAACTCTTCCCAGAACCAAGATGAGCGCCTTCCAGGCCGCCCTTGTCCTGTGCCGCTTCCAGGAAGCAGTGCTGGGACGAGTGAGGGTGGGGTCAAAGGATGTTAAACCAGCGTCGGCAGCCCGGCGCTGTGCAACTACAGTTCCCGAGAGGCCTTGCGCCAGGCGCCATCTTTCCGCCCCGTCCGATGGTGGGTGGGCGGGCTCCTGCGTCATCGGCGCGCGCGGCCGCGGTCCCGGTCGCGGAGTGATAACATACAACTTCCCCCCACCCCGCCCCCCGGGCTGTCAGTCTGAGCGCGGCCAAGCACTGGCCGAGGGGCCCCCCGGGCCGCGCCGCTATGGCGGCCGTGTTTGATCTGGACCTGGAGACGGAGGAAGGCAGCGAGGGTGAGCCAGAGTCGAGCCCCTCGGTGAGTGGTCCTCCCGGGCACGGCTCGATCCCGGAGCCGATCCCATCCTCCAGGCGGTGGAATCGCCCTGGCTTCCCCCAGCGAGAGCGTCTCAGAGCCTGGCCCCTGTTAAGCTCTGACCCACCCTCACTAACCCGGACCTGTCTTCCAGGCCCTAGCCCTTACCCTGGTTCTCCCTTTTCTGCTCTCGGCCTCTCCTCCCCAGTGCTGGTCCATCGCCCGCCAGTTCCCATTCCTGACCCCTCCTCTCCTGGGCCAACTAGTCCAGCTTGAGGCGGGGTTGGGCGGGGGGGTATCCCGGTGCCTTCCTTGGCTCTTACCCCTCGGTTTCTCACAGGACGTGTGTCCCCTTGCCGAGTCGAGGGCGGCTGGCCTGGAGTGAGTGAGGGTTGTGTTGGGGGAGGAGGGTATGGGCTGGGGAGGGAGATGCGGGGAGTCCTGGAGCCTTGCCCCCTTTAACTCTTGTGTCAGTAGGCCTGTGGGACGCTGTGAGGAGGTGGAGCTGACCGAGACCAGTGTGAACCTGGGCCCTGAGCGCATCGGGCCCCACTGCTTCGAGCTGCTGCGTGTGCTGGGCAAGGGGGGCTATGGCAAGGTACTGGCCCTCGGTCCTCCCTGGTCTCCCTGCCCCCGTCTTGCAGCAGCAAAGGGTCTCAAAACGAATTAGGCTTATAAATCAGCTGAGCCTCCATAGAACGCTGAGGTAAAAACGTAAAGGAGGGAAAGACAGATCCTCTCAGAATCAGACTTGACAGCTTTACTGCCCCACCCTTGGGTGGGCCTCGGCCTCTGGGTCTCAGTGCCAGAGCTTCAGGGTGGAGCTTTTTGAAGGAAGGATGTGGAGAGGGAGGTTGATCCTGTCTCCCCTGCCCTACAGGTGTTCCAAGTGCGAAAAGTGCAAGGCACCAACTCGGGCAAAATATATGCCATGAAAGTCCTGAGGAAGGTGAGTCATGTGTCCAGCCGACACATCCTCGATTGGTGGCCGCCGTTCTCCAGGCACGACTTCAGGCTTCTGGAAGACGGTAGTGAACGCGGTGGAGGACCTGGCCCCTGACTTGGGCATTGGCTGGTTTATTGTCAGTTGTGGTTATGTTGTTTTGTGGTAATTCCCAGCCGTGGGCAATTTTGCCTCTATGTTTCTGAGTCACAACTAAATAAATAGGGGCGCTACTGGCATCCAGTGGGTAGACGCCAGGGCTGCTGTTCAACATCCTGCAATGCACAAGACAGCACCCACGGCGAAGAATTACCTGCCTGAAATGTCATTAGTGCCAAGTGGAGAGGTACCTCTAGAGGATAAATCAGTCCTTGAGAAGGATGACCACTGGTAGCAGGATTACGGAAAGATAGAATGGAGTGATAAAGGGTGGCAGAAGGGTAATGGCAGGAGGGACTAAAGGAGCCCAAGGTGCCCATTTTCTGATTGATCCCCGCCTCTTCAGGCCAAAATTGTGCGCAACGCCAAGGACACAGCACACACGCGGGCTGAACGGAACATTCTAGAGTCAGTGAAGCACCCCTTCATTGTGGAACTGGCCTATGCCTTCCAGACTGGTGGCAAACTCTACCTCATCCTCGAGTGCCTCAGTGGTATGAGCGGGGCCCAGCCAGGGAACCAGGGCCAGGGAACCAGCCAGGAAGCACTGGGAGCTCTGGGGAAAGCCCGGAGAGATGTGGTGTGTAGAATGGCTAGGGGGCCCCCATACCCATCCATCCATGTGTCTATCCGTCCCTTCATTCATTCATTCAGCAAACGTCTGTCCAGCACCTATTGTGTCCCTCACCTGTATTGGGGGTGGACGGGAACGGCGGGAGTTTGTACGGAAATCCAGTGGCTTGTTTTGTCCATTTCCACTACCCGTTCATGGCCTGTTCCTCTCTCCTGCGTGCCCTGTGTCGAGTCGGGTCCCAGATCCTGCTGGTTCATTCTCGGCAGTGTCCTCCATCCTCTCCACTCTCCTGAGGGGAGGGCACGGGTCAGGTTTCCTAACTGGGCCTGAGGCCTTCAGCTCACTTTCTTCCATGCACTCTCAGGGTCATCGTCTCAGCACGGGAATTGTCCCCAACGCTCCTACTCACAATCCCACGGCTCCTTGTAACTGCCCCGATGAAGCCTGGCCTCCTTGGCCTGGTGCCCCCTGTTGGCCATGAAGCGGTTGGGCCCGCTTCCCGCCAGGTCCTGTCTGCACAGATGAGCCTGTGAGCTCCAGTCCCCATGTCCCTCTCAGTGCCCCCTCGATTCTCACCGTTACCGCGGGCTGCGTCCCCTCACGTTGGGAGTCATTTTGCCGCCTCTGTGAGATTTTTTGCACGAAGCTCTTGGAGCCCTTGCCTCGGTCTGGCCTGTTGGAGCCCCTCTGTGCATGTCTGTCTCCCCGTTAGACTGAGCGTCCTGAGGGCAGTGGCTGGGTCTCCTCATCTCTGTGTCCCCAGCGTCGCCCAGCACAGGGCCAGACACCGAGTAGGCGTCGGTAGATGTTTGCTGAATTGAATTGAGTCCCCACGGCAGCTCTGTGAGGCAGGTAGGGCCGGAATTATGAGCCCCACTCTCCCCAAGAAGAAACCGAGACTCCGAGAGCAAAGGTGCTGGTTCCCAGCACACAGCTGCTGACCTGTTTGTGTCACAGGCGGTGAGCTCTTCACGCATCTGGAGCGAGAGGGCATCTTCCTGGAAGACACAGCCTGGTAGGTAGTACTTCCTGCCTCTCTGGAGGGGCTGCAGGGATTCCCCTCACCCCGAGCACAGCCGCACGCCTACCCTTGCCTTCACCCTGTCCTGTCTCTGCAGTTTCTACCTGGCGGAGATCACACTGGCCCTGGGCCACCTGCACTCCCAAGGCATCATCTACCGGGACCTCAAACCCGAGAACATCATGCTCAACAGCCAGGGTGCGCATGCGTGCACCCCTCCCCCGCCCACGCACCTGCACCTCTGGGTCAGAACCTGCAGGGAGGGCTGAGGAGCACCATGTGGTGGGCCCTGACCACCCGCCCCCCCCCCCCACCAATATCCGCCTCAGGCCACATCAAACTGACGGACTTTGGACTCTGCAAGGAGTCAATCCACGAGGATGCGGTCACCCACACTTTCTGTGGCACCATTGAGTACATGTAAGCGGCAGCTGGCTGGGACCAGGGATTGGGATGACTAGCAGGAAGGGCCCAGTCCGACCAATGGTTTCCCCTGGCCCCCAGGGCCCCTGAGATTCTGGTGCGCAGTGGCCACAACCGGGCGGTGGACTGGTGGAGCCTGGGCGCCCTGATGTATGACATGCTCACCGGCTCGGCAAGTCCAGCCTCCTTGGGGTGGTGGGAGAGGGTGGTGGGAGGGGGTCCCCATCCCGGGGCTGGGCCAGGGCCTGGGGGGAGGCCCGCAAGTCTCCTCTCACCCCCTGCCTTCTCCAGCCACCCTTCACGGCAGAGAACCGGAAGAAGACGATGGACAAGATCATCAAAGGGAAGCTGGCGCTACCCCCCTACCTCACCCCGGATGCCCGGGACCTTGTCAAAAAGGTGGGTTCCCTCTGTCCGTGGTCCCTAGGCCCCAGTGTCTTTTAGGCCCCGCCTGGAATCCTGAGTTTCTCTGGGCTCCCTGCCTGCACAGTATGCCTTGGGGATGAAGGAGCACTGGCTTTGGGGTCCACAGTGCCAAGCTGGGGCACTCACTCTGTTGCACACCAGCTGCTGACCTTGTTGCACAGATCCCTAGTCCCGGGTCCTAATCAGCAGAACGTTCATTCACGATGAGCTAGTTGTTCTCCCACTGAGAAGGCATTCACTGGGGATAAAAGTGGGCAGCTAGGCTCAGAGATCGGACCCCACGGCAGGGCCCTGGAGTGATGCCCGTGACTGGGTGCCTTTGTGAATGCTTCATGCAGAAGGGCCCATCACACCAAACCTTGGAAGGCCTAAGGTTGTCTGTAGGTGGGGACCACACTCCAGAGGCCCTCCCCCCCCAACACACACACATGCGTGCGCACGCGCGCGCGCACACACACACACACACACACACACACACACATCTCTCACCTTTCCTCACCCAGCCCGCCCCGAGGAACCTGGAGGAACACACAGTCAGTGTCTCTCCCCCAGGGCCTCACCCTCTGCCCTTGCCCTGCAGTTTCTGAAACGGAATCCCAGCCAGCGGATTGGGGGTGGCCCCGGGGACGCTGCTGATGTGCAGGTGGGTTTGGGAGCCCCAGGAGGGGGCAGGGTGGAGCCCCCAAAGGCGCCAGGAGGCAGGCAAGGCCTTAGGGCACAGGGAGTTGCTCTGTGAGCCAAGGAGGTGGAAATGACGGGATGCTTGGGGGCTCTGTACCCACAGAGGCACCCTTTCTTCCGGCACATTAACTGGAACGACCTCCTGGCTCGCCGCGTCGACCCTCCTATCAGGCCGTCTCTGGTAAATGGAGGACCTGCTGGTCCGGGGGCAGGTGGAGGACCCATCTCGGATGCCCCCTGACCCCTCCTTGCCGCCCGGGTCTGCCCACAGCAGTCAGAGGAGGACGTGAGCCAGTTCGACACCCACTTCACACGGCAGACGCCGGTGGACAGTCCTGACGACACGGCCCTCAGCGAGAGCGCCAACCAGGCCTTCTTGGTGAGGTCATGGGTGGCCTGAGGGTTATGGGGGCCCGGGCAGGGTTGTGGTGAAGGAGTGGCAGACACCGAGTGCCATCCGTCCCCCCAGGGCTTCACATATGTGGCCCCCTCCGTCCTGGACAGCATCAAGGAGGGCTTCTCCTTTCAGCCTAAGCTGCGCTCCCCCAGGCGCCTCAACAGCAGCCCCCGGACCCCGGTCAGGTACCGCAGGGCACGGGAGAGTGCGCAGCTGCGGCGGGAGGCCGGTTCGGGCTTGGATCTGCTAGCCCACCCTAGGGCCGCCTCTTGGTGCTCGTCTGTGTTTTCCCACCCACCCCCGGGGACCCCTGGTGGCAGGGGCTGCTTGGCTGGGCACTTGACCTCACAGCCTCTGTGCCTAGGTGGGGCGGGCTGGGCAGTGTCGGCCCTCTGACCCCAGGGGCGGTCCAGGCTGACTGAGCCTTGGTTTCCCCCGCAGCCCCCTGAAGTTCTCGCCCTTTGAGGGATTCCGGCCCAGCTCTGGCCCACTGGAGCCCACGGAGCCCCCTCTCGCCCCTCTCCCGCCACCGCCGCCCTCAAGCTCTGCCCCCCTCCCCATCCGACCCCCCTCAGGGACCAAGAAGTCTAAGAGGGGCCGTGGGCGCCCAGGGCGCTAAGAGGATGGGGCTCTGAGAGCAGGTGGGACCCTGGGCCGGTTCGAGAGACCTGGAGATGGGTCTAGGGGTACAGGAGTGAGTGTGTGTGAGAGCGTGTCTCTGCTGGGGGTGGCTGTCCCCCCGAACCAAGCCCACGAAGGGCCATAGGCTCTGGCTGTCACGGGAGTGGCCTCGCCGCCCAACTGGCCTACACTTGAGCTGTGCCCTTGAAGAATTAAAATATTGAATCATGGCACTGACCTGGCTCTTTCTTGGACTTCTGGGGGCAGGACTGTGGGCGGGTGGCTTGTATCAGGAGGAGCCCCTGCTCAGAGACGGGGGGGTCACTACAGGACCACAGAGCCTCGGGGCTGGAGGGGTTTTATTTCAGATGGCTGCCCAGTGTCCCTTCCTGGTGGGGACAGGGCCGCAGAGCTTTGGGGACAGAACTGCTAGGGGAGCGATCATCTGAGACTCTTCATGGGGAGGGGGTGTGGGTGATGCTGGGTCCGGGACAGCTCGGGACACAGAGGTACGGTGACGGGGGTGGCCCACCCCGTTGGCTCTTACAGAGCGGTGACGTGGAGGCCCTGGCCCCCCGCCGCTTCGGCGCTGTCGTCCCAGGCCGCGCTGCCGGCGAAGGCGTGCAGGTCGCTCAGCAGGGCCTCAGCGCTGCCCCCTGAGCCCGCCGGCCCCTGGGATCTGAGGCCCGGGCCCCCTTCGAGGTTATTGTCACGGGCTTCGTCAGCTGGCTCTGGGGCGTGCTGGGAACCGGGCCCCTCTCCTGCCTGCTGCTCCTCCTCCAGGGACTCTGCGTCCTCCAGGCCACCGGCCAGGTGGTAGTCTTCTTCCACATCCTGCGTGTCCTGCAGCTGCTCGGGGTCCTCGTCGGGCGACTCCAGCTCGGCCCGAGCCCGGAGCCAGCGGCCCGGCGGGCTGGCCCAAAGGAGGCGGCGGGTGCGGCCCCACAGCGCGGCGCCCAGGCGGGCCGGGTGGTAGTAGCCCCCCGAGTCCCGGCTGAGGCGGCACCAGGCCAGCGCCAGGCCGGTGGCCAACAGCAGGAGCAGCAGCAGCAGCACGACGACAGTGACGGAGTTGGAACCCTCACTGTCCTCGGCACTGCCGCCCGAGCCCAGGACCCCTGGCAGGGCCAGCAGTGTCCCGAGCCCTAGGGCACAGGGCAGGTCCTGTGGGGAGACAGGCGGGGGCGCGTCACCGGGGCTGGGGGCGGTTAGGCCGCATGACTGGGTCCTCAGCTGCCTCTTGGGCAAAATGGGGACCAGTGAGCAGAAGGGCCCACGTTCTTACTGGATCTACAAGGCCCTGGTCCTTTGAGCTGTGGCTCTGGAGCCTCTGACCCCCGCCTTTGCCACCCCAGCTGCGCTCCATGAGCCGGTGCCTGCCAGGGGCCCACGCGCTGGCTGTTCCCTCCACCCAGAATGCTCCATCCCCTGAGAGCCACATGCTGCTGGCTCACCTTGGCCTGAAGTACTGCCCGGCCTCTCCCCTCTGCGGCGGGGCCCAGCCTGGCTCTGCTTCCCTCACCCTGGTACTCCTCACACAGCCTGCCCCGTCTGCCCCCTCAGAGCAAGCGGCAAGGGCACAGGATCTTTCAGGCTTAAGCACTACCATTTCCGGCACACACAGTAGGTGCTCAGCAAACACTGGTCAGACTGTCAAGACTGACGGTGGCGCGGGCGCTCGATGCGGAGGGAGGGAGGGAGGGGTCTGCTCTTCCTGAGGCGCGGGAATGGAGGAGCCGACTCAGACAACTGTTTACCCTCCACTTGGTCAGGTCTCAGGATGGGGGCGTGTCCCTGAAGCCCCTCTTCCTCTCCCACCCACGGGACAGCCCCAGCTGCAGCATTTCCGTTCAACTCCCGTCTCTGGGGGCCTCAGGCTCGCAGGGCCTGGGGCTGGGGGAGGCGGGTGCCGCTACCAGAGGAAGCCTGCGGTCGGAGCAAGGCAGGTGGGAGGTGGGGGGAGGGGGGGGGCGAGATTCGGGCAAGCCTCCCCTTCTCCCCGGGCTCTGTTCGCTCGGGCTTCAGGGATGCAGGTAGGTTCTGTGCCCAGGTCCCAGCTCATCAGCAGAACAGGTGAGAGGGTCTATCAGAGGTTCCTGAAGCAGGGCCAGACCTGGAGAGGGGTGCTGGGGGCACACCCTGAGTCCCAGGGGGGCCCGCCTCTGAGGCAAGGTGAGAGGAAGGCCCAGCTTCTGCCCCATGCTTGCCCTGGGTCTCCCATCTCTGCCCTTGACTGACTGCTTCTGCTCCTGGGCCCCAGTACGGGGGTCCTCCCTTAGCGCCCAGGGCCCAGACATTCCAGCTCTGACCTCCTATGGCCCCCACCGCAGGACCCAGCAGGCTCCCGTGCTCACCATCAGTCCGCTGGCCTAGGTGCCTGGGCGCCTGCCACCAGCTCTGGCCGCGTTGAGTGGAAGTGAACTCTGGTGCGCTCAGCTGCAGCTGGGGCTCCCTGGGCGCTTCCGCTTCCTGCCCACGTACCCCACCCAGCCTTCCCTGCCATAGGCCCCTGCTGGGGGCCGAGGGCCTCTTGGGACCACCCTAACCCGCTAACCCACGCTAAAGCCTCACAGATCTCCCACCGGATGAGGCCAGGGCTGTGAAGCCTCTGGCCGGGCCTCCCAAAGGAGGACCCAGGCACCAGTTCACAGCCCATGCAGTCCTGGGCATCCACAGGTCTGGGGCCACAGTTCCTCCAGCTGGCAGAATTCAGGGAAGCAATGACTTGGTCGGGGGGAAGCCCTTGGCCCCCAGCCCTTTCTCACATCTGTGATCCCTGTGGGCTGCCCTCATCTGTCCCCAGTGTTCTAGACTTCCTTTCCCAACCCGACCCTTTGCAAAGGGCGAACCTGGCTTTTAGAAAGAGAATTTTATTTGGAATGAAAATATAGAGCTTGTCCCTCCCATGTCCTCCAGGGAGAGAGCAGGGAGTGGGGGGAGATGGTCCCTCAGAGTATAAGCTTGCCTTGATACAAAAATCCTCCACAGGGACAATGACAAGAGCCAGGCAGTGGCTCTGGCCCAGGCCCACAGGATGGGTCAGTGTGGACTGTCCCTGAACCTGGCCCAGAGGGCCTGGGCAGGGAGCAGGAGGCAGCCAGCTAGTGGTGTGACTTGCCAACAGAGGCTGGGTGAGGAGGGCGTGGAGCAGGAGGAGGAAGTGAGGGGGAACGGCATCCCTTGGGCCTGTGGTCCTATGCGTCCCCATTCTCCATGCGGCCGAGCTGCTCTTCCAGGCGACCGATGCGCTCCCCCTGCTCCTTGACCAGCGCCCGCAGTGCCCGCAGCTCCTGCATGACCTCCTCCAGCTTCCCAGCCTCCTGCAGGGATGGCGGGAGCAGGAGTCAGGGGGCGCGGAGCTGCAGTCTTCCCCCGGTCAACAGAGGCCCCGGCCCATGAAGGGTTCAGGCACACACACTGCAGACCAGGGCCCCTGGAGGGCACGTACCATGGCTCTGGCAAGGCTACCGCTGGAGACGGTCGTATGGATGGACGCAGCAGAGCCGGTGGCCCCCGGGCGGGCCGAGCTGGGAGCCGCTGCAGGCCGGCTATCGGATAACACGTTGCGCCTGCTGACCTTCAGGTCCCGCTGCTTGCTGGGCACGTAGGCCTCCCGCAGGGAGATGAGTATGGGGCTGGCATCCTGCCCGCTCACCCACTCCTCTGCCTCCAGGGCCGCCTCGGGCCCGGCCGTGTCAGGGTACAGATCATCCTGGAAGAGGTCCGACTGGGCGAGGGCGGGGGAGGTCCGGATCAGACGGGGGGCCCCGTGGTAGGGTCATCTTGTCTGGACCCTGGGTAGCCACCTTCTTATCGCTTTCGGCCTCCAGGCCTGCGCCCTATCAACCCCGCCTCCCATGCCCTGGCCCCCCTGGCTTCTGTAAAGCACAAATCTCTCGTTCCACTTCCCTTCGGGGTGAGGCCAACAACTCTCTCAGAAACCTTCCCCACACTCCTAAGCAGGGCTCAGCCACGTGGCTTCATGGGATTCTGGAAGCCCTGTGTCCCACAGATGGTAAACCCCGCCAGCCTCATTCACAGCCCTCCTCCCTGGGAGGCGCCTGGCACGCTGGAAGGTTCACTTGGTGAGCACCGGCCGAAGAATGAGGCTCCTCCGGGGTTCAAGGCTGGGCATCCGAGGCCCGGCCACATGTGGGCGGATCCCCTCTTCGTGGGAGTCTCCACAACAGCCAGGTTCTCGTCCCTCTCTCCACTCTTCCCTCCGTGCCGTTTGCCTGGCCTAGACCCACCGCTGGAGGGCCACCCCCACAGCCAGGTTGTTGGGTCCTGCCTTTCCGGCCACAGGGAGCCCTCCAGGCCTGCCTGGCACCTGTCCGCCTCCCGTGGCTCTTCCAGAGCAGGGCCTCAGCTCACCCTGTCTCACTCCTTGTTCCCACGCCTGGCACAGCCGTACGCCTGGCACAGCCGTACGCCTGGCAGTGGCCCAAAGACGTGCTGGTATCCGTCCAGCCCACTGACCACATCCACACTCAACCACGTCCCATTCACAGGCCTCAGCCCGGTCCCCACCGCGTGGCCCATCCATTGGGGATGGGAGTGGGTGGGCAGGGGACCAGGTGGCCTCACCTTTCTTGGCACAGTCATGATGATGGGCTCACACTTGCGCTCATGCAGTTTGTAGAACCTGGGAAAGGGAAGGGAGGGAGGAACCGTGGGTGGTACCTGCCCCTCGAGGGCTCCCCTGCACTCTCCACTTCTGGGCCTCACCCCAAGCCCTCCATAGTCCGACCTTGACCCTGGCCCTGCTGCGGGCCGCTTCCTACTACTCAGCAGCCTCCCAAGATCTTACTGCTCACCCTGGCCAGCCACGGCTGACGGGGGACGACTCAGCCGTGTGCAGCCAGCCATGTGGGAGGCCCCTCTTACCGGGCGATCTCGCACTTGCTGACCTCCAAGCCCCTCTTAGGCATGCTGCCCATGCCCCTCTGGGGCTCTTTGCTGGTGAAAGTGTTCAGGAAGTGGATATAGGGGGGCTCATCTGTGATCTCAAAGTACCGGATGCTGGAGTCGCCCTGCGGAGGGGAGGCGGCAGGGGTCAGCACCCAAGCGGGCCGCCTGCTTCCCCCCTGCCCATCCGCCCTGCCTGGCCCCACACCTTGCCGCAGACGTAGACCACGTTGGTGTCTGGGTCGTAGAAGGGCAGCAGCGCCCCGTTGCTCGAGTCCAGTTCCTGTAGGGCCATGGGTTCCTCAAGGTTTTCCTGCCACAT